TCGTGAGGTTGTTTCTTGGATTGGTTGCATTTGTTGCTACCTTCAAAACTTTGTTATACTTCGTTATTGTTCTAGATTGTCCCCACTACTAGTAACTAGTATCAGCCATGCGACATGCGCTCAGCTGCACAGCACGTTTAAGAGTGACAGTCACACTTCACTCACATCCATCCAGTCCCAGTGTGTAGTTGGTTGGTCAAGCCAAGCTGACATGGTGATAATGACTTTGCTTGAGCTACGATTGTGTTTGCTTTTGATTCAATGGACTTGGACCCCCAAGCATTTCCGGACTAGTTGCCACCCTGTGCCGTCGGCGTGCAGGCCTTCAAAATCTCGACAATTCGGTTGCTGGAATTGGAGCCGCGCTTTCAAACTGAAGTTCCTTAGAGTAAGGCTGTCAGCGGCAGGCAACCACAACTTAAAGCTTGCAACTTGCAAGAGGTTCTCTGGGGAGGTCTTACGGAGTGGATGAGTTGGCGGGAGAAAGCTGGGCCAAGATGGATTGTGACATCGGAATGCATGTGTTCAATCAGCTCAGGCATCATCTACCAGCCAGTACCAGGTTGCTCCACTTCCCCAAGAGGCTGACACAGTGCCGAACTTTGTGCGGCCTTTTCGGTAATTAACGGTTTCGAAAACAGATGAAGACCAATGCGATGGCATGGTGAGTAGAAACATTTTGTTGATTCTTGGTGTCACTGAACTCCAAGTGAACTGTTTCTGTTTCTGTATTTATTATATATTCAAACAAATTATTACTCATTCTGCAGTTGTGTGTGAAAGGAGGAGCCACCTGACCTGTGGGCTGAGATTTGGTGGTTACCATGGCTTGGCCGCTGAGCTGCCTTTGTTGGCTAACTTCTTAAGGTGAAGCTAAATCAAATCCGCCAACTCCAGTCAAGTTGCCCACTGAAACAACACCATGCACAATACTTAATGCACATGTTGACAACTGTTCTCATGTTTGCTGTTGTTTACTTGAATGGGAATTGTCCGGATTTCAAGTCTTAAGGTCCCGGGGAGGGGCGTGTTGCCCGGTTTGGTCAACTGTTTGATGCTTTGGAGAATCTTGCTGCGATTTGTACAAGTAGCTATCAGGCTGCATCATGGTACTACTCGCCGCGAACTTTGGAGACATGGAGTGTTCCAGCATTGCTTCAAGGGCTCGAAACTGGTTTGATCTCGTCGCATTTTTTGCACTTGTACCTTCGTCGGACCTGCCAGGGCAAGTGTTCTTTGCGTGTGCATCCGCAGCTTTTCGGGCCTCAGGATCTTGCATGTGGACCACTCATGGGATCCTGATACTGAAATCATGAGTTCATTGGAAACAATGTGCCAGGTGCACTCTTCCAAAGCCAGTACTGTAATTACTAAATGTGCAGGACATCCAAACCTCATTATGGAATATTATGCAATGACAATGTCATGCTATATCAATTAATTCTTAGTCTAGATGCTTCGCGAAGACAAGCAGTAGACAGGAAGACAAGCAAAGACAAGAAGTTAGATTTGACAAAGTACAAGACGGTTGGTTCCATGGACTGCCCTGATGGCTGAGCCTTGGTTTTGACAGGTTTCACTTTTCCTGGACCTGACTCTGTTGGGATTTCCAAGTGGCATTTGACAGAATGCTAATTGTCTACGTGAAGAACAGGGTGAGCTTGTAGTAAACATGTCTATATTGCTTGAATTGTAGCCTTTGAACATCATTCATCAATGCGGAATGCCTCAAAATTGCCTCAGGAAAGCTTGGTCGGTGGTGACGGTGGTGATAGCTTTAAAAAGACAACAGAAGAATGTACACATATATATTATATATATAGTGCCGTTAATTGCTTACTCATGCCCGGAGCCAAAGAGTTTTGATCTTTAATAAAAGACTCGGCCTGCCTTTCAAATACTAGCCGATAGCATGTTCCACGAATATTTTCCCGCACATCACGCACCTTTATTTAGCCTTATTTGGTGTTTGCTTTGGGTGTAGTTTTTTCGATTGGGCTGGGGCGACTGTGTAATGGCTACCGGCCCCAACCAAGCTCAGATTTGTGGACATTGTAGACCTTTTCGTTCTCCATGGTGAAACAATTCAATCAAGGTTTCAACTTGAACGTTGATTTGAAGCTTTCCAAGGATACGGAGGAGCCCCAGACACCTGGTGCCTCAACCGGAGCATCTACTGCACCGGGCGCAGAGCCTGCCAACCGCGAAAACTTCGATACATCACTGCCTGGAAGCACCGTAGCAGTGCCGCCCCTTTGGAACGGTGATGGTGCCATGGTCAAAAGTTTCATGGAGTTGGGCCGGTAAGTTGAGCAAAGCACCACTGGCCAGTTCAGCAAAGAACTGCCACTCTGTCACTGTTTTTTAAGTCAAGGTGCTGGCCGTAACTTGGTGCCAAGTGCCCACATTCTGCATGCCACACCAAAGATCAATAAATAATCGCCAAGAATCTACACCATTGGGATAATGGCACTGACTGGTGTTCCAGCAACTTTGTCTTTATATAGGTCTTTCCTGCAAAGGCCTTTGCCATGCAGACCGAGGCTTCCGACAAGAGTCAGCAATTCCAGCACCTCCACCCCGAAAGCCGCCGCCACTGCGGAACTCCACCATTGCACCCTGGGTGCTAGCGCCTTTGATTTGATGATGGCTTGATCGAGCCCCCTCAATTAATATGTCATTTGACAATATGTCATAATCAGCTCTTGAGATGCGCAAAGCGTGAGTTGGAGGGCTTGCAGATGCTTGGAGTGTTTCCTTATAATGTATTCATGATTCCATTGCGATATTCACCAGGCTCTGGAAAAAGAGGCTTCAATTGAGATCAAAAAACGGGATGCCGGGCAGTCCTTGGTTCCAAGGCTGCGCGACAGCAAGATGTGCAGGAGGATGAAGAGGTGTCTTGTCGTGTTAGCACGCAGATTCAGAAACCATGGACACATGTAGCGCATTTGTAGTAGAAACAATGTTCGCTACTAGTAACAAGTGCATCGCTACTAGTAACAAGTGCCTTACTAGTAGTAACAAGAAACTAGTAGAAACAAGAAGCTACTAGTAACAATGATGTGACATGTAATATACAGGTGGAGTTTTGCACGCACTCCATTGCCGGCATTGTCGGAGTACTGTTGACGAGATGTCCATCCCAAGTTTCTGTAGAGTATATGAGTATACCATCGACTCGATTTGCTCTTCACCGATTCACAGCAGTGGAGTTTAGTTTTTGTGAAATAAGGGCAGGGAGGACGATTTTCTCGGATCTGATGAGGGAACACCTCGTTCAGGAAACCTGGAAGAAACTGAGTGCAGTGCAAATTGGATCACAATGGCATTGCTCAAATTTCAGCATGATTTTGGGTTCAGAATTGCAGAAGGCATTGGTGTGAAGCCCCTTGAACGCACAAACACCCTACTCAGGAAATCCACGTCACCTGCTTACAGGGAGTTGTATGTTTGATGTCGTGATCCCTTGTGAGTTTGTTCAGATTGGTGATGCTTCAGCATGTCACCGAGAGCTGCATGCGGCATCAAAGAAAGCTGTATATCGAAAACATTCATATATAACTATATATATCTTATATACCTTTTGCCGATAATATAATATAGAAGAAAATATATAAAGACAAACTGTTTCTCACAGCGTTTGATGTTTCTTTGCTGACCGGATCTTTCTTTTGAAAGGACAGGAGGGCTCACAGATGTCAGCCGGATCTATGACGGGGTCAGCCGCATCCATGCCATACAGCAGCTGGACAACTATTGAGAGCAACAACAAAATACCATGCGAGCGAATTGATGGATTTACAATGATTTACAGTATATAGACATTTACATGGATCATCAATGATTATATCTCAGATTATTGCCATGCCTTTTTTGATCCTTTTGACCTAGCTGTTCCAGCTCTATTTGGCACGCAACTTGAAGCATGTTTTGTTGCAGGTATGGACAGTCAACCACCTGTGGAGCCAGATGCCAACTATGGAGGTGTCACCCTGTCCCAGCTGGAAGAATTCCTGGCCGTGAGGAAAGGACCTTTGACAAAAGAATGCTTGATATGTACAGGTACAGGTGTTCCTTACTCTATTTGACTCCCATTGTGTTTGTAACTGGGTAGTTGATTGTTTGCCAAGACGATCCAATATATTTTGTTGATCATGGCCGCATGCTCTGCTATGCTTGATGAAGGGAGGGCGCGACCAGCGCCTCGCGTGTTCTTTCTCTCACAACTACTGCCCTGGGCAACATGCACAAATAGATTTGCCGTATGCCGCTCCTCGGCATTCTCATGGAGAGTTGTGACGGGTTTGCATGGTAAGGAATGCGAATGGCGTGTGGGACGCTTCCTTTGACATTTGGAATTTGGTGCCTCGGTGCGATTAGGTAGCGGACAGTCAGAGTGGTCTGAGTGATGCAAATTGAATAGGCATCATTTCTAGATTTCAATCTCCTTACTGTATATATAATACATTTGTTTGGGGTCACGTCATTTTGAGATTTGGTTTCACTTGATGTGCCATTTTACTTGCGCAGTTTGGACACCCTACTGGATCCTGGTGACCCCGGTGCAAGCCATAAGGAGACGTTTTAGTGACCTCATTGAGGATTACACAGTTGCACTTCACGGATTGTACTGTTGCAGAGTTTTATGTGGAAAGGCTTGCTTTCGATGTTGTATCATATGGCGAGTCCATGATTGTTCATGCGGCCCTGTGGCTGCTACATGCAGCTGACTAGGATTTTTTTTGCCAGGGGCTTTTGCAAGTCTAACAGGTGTGGAATGAGCACAAGCGTCCAGTGAGACTTTATATCAATCCTTGCCTTGCGTCCAGCGAGCAGATGCTGGATGGCCTTAGCCCGGTAGTTGAACAGTTCCAGAGTCACTTCAACTTATGTTTGGGAAGCCAGATGGCCGAGGTTGGCCTATGTTTTTCTGGTCATGGCCGTTGGCGAGGCAGAGGGTCCCTTTCAGACTGCGAACTTGATCAAGGCACCTCAGCATTGTACAGGAGGAGCGATGTAGACTCAAACAATGTGACTGGCAGTCATAGGTAGGCTCCACAATGACTGATACTGAAGACCAGGTTTGAAAGACAGAGTGAAGAAAAATCAAGATCAACTAAAATCGAGCAGCCACATGCGCTATTCAACTCCAATTTGTGATATTTGTGTGCCTTTTGAGTCGTAGTGTGCACGCTAGTAGTTCTGTCGAGGGAGCCGGATTCAATATGCAGGCGGCGCAAAGAACATCAAAATGAAAGGTCTGACCAATTATATACAATTGTATATCACCGATTCTGATTGTAGAATTCTCAGCTCCAACTGCTTATTTTCTTGATGAGGCCACCGTGGAAGAAGCAGTAGCTCAACGACCTCACAGACTGTGGGGAAGCCAAAGCTTTCGTTTGGATGAGATGGAAGACTTTGAGGACATCAGCTGGTGGATGAGGACCAGCATTGATTCGTTTGTCAGTGATTGGAAGAGACTTTGCAATTTGCAACCTGCATATATAAAAAGAGTACATCCTGCTTGATCAACTTGAGGAGCGCGCTTGCGCCCACATTGGATCCACAGTTCGAGGCCTTTTCATCATCAGCAACTCTTCGTGAATTGCGCCCTTCGTTGTGGAATGTGAAGACACAACCCGTCCAAATGGTAGAATCTTGTAGAACATTTTGATAAGCAGGTAGCTCCTTTACTGTGTATATAAAAAACTATACAATTCTTTTCGCAATCTGTTTGGAATAGACCTTGGCTTTTGGCAAAATTAGCTTGATCCCGTGGCTACTCAGTCCTAGCTTCCTCCATCTCTCGGACATAGCTATCAATTTACTGTATTAGGAATATAGCTATGTATTTGAAGGCCTTTCTTTAGACAATGTGTCACTATATAGTTAGTTATGTAAGTTATGTATATACTTACATGTTACATATATACATATATATATATATCTATCGGTGTTTCAGGAGTTCTTCACACTGGTGTTTCATTCTGGTGTGTAGAGCCCGTAGATCCTTCCAACATGCCTTACTGTGCAAGGTTTACTGCATAAAAGCATTCACGTACTCCAGACGAGTTAAGTGTATCTATTGTGGTTGTGCTCGAGGCAGTACAAG